CAAAAGAAAAAGAGCGAGGTTTTGAATGGGTCAAGAGTGGTGAAGTTGGAGAATGCTCACATATTGAAGTGACACAACTTTACCACAAAGAATGTGCGATAGATTCCAGTGAGCGCTTCACACAGACAGAGCCTTGGATCTTTCAGTTGTCCCTAAAGGAATAGTTTTCCCATGCTACATGTAGCCGATATGCTTCTATGTAAAAGCAAGAAATAGGTAAAACAGTACTTAAACTTGTTTTTCTAGACAGTGCAGGTGATTTTATTTTTTACAATCATGCAGTTTCACGTACAAAGAAACAAAGATAGAGATTTTATTTTAATTAACTTACACATAATCTTGTTGGATCAGTAAGAATCTTCATTTTTTTCTCGACATAGACTTCACACTGAGGATCTTGGAATGTCTTTAGGGAGACAGGAAGCCTCTGTGTACCAGCATAGCATGCTTATGTACATAAGCGCACTGGGGTTTTTACTGAAATCACTTCAGAATAATCACCTCATAAAAATGAACAAGAGCACCTGTCTTATTGAAGGTTTGAATAACAAACTATGGTCACCTGACTGTGAGATTTGCCTTAATTTTTCTCAGACTGAACCATTTAAGTTCATCTTCCATGGAAAAAATGACTGTGTTTATAGAAAAAAATGAGTTTTCAAAAGATAATTAAAAATACAAGAAACATGTTACCAGTGTCATAGAACGTGACCACTCAAAACTTAGAGTTTTCTGCTAATATTGAGTTAGAGTAATAAATTTTTATGCTATAAAATAAAGTGTTATTATTTTCAAGTTGGTAAATTGTATCTTTTAGATGACCACATCAAGTTGAAATAAAACCATAATGAGTAAAACACCTATGAAAATTGACATATCAATTTTGATCTAGGAGAATAAAAAGTATTTAACATGATTCAGACTCCTTACTGCTATAACCTTAGAAAAGTCAGTGAGGAGGCCTGGGCAACCCATGGGGCCCTGGGCAGTGGATCAGTGTTTATCCCTGGCATACAAACAGACATCATGTGTCTGTAACACAAAGAGGGATGCTCTCTCAGCCTGGACTCTTAGGGGAGTGCCTGGCCCCTGCCCTGAGTGAAATGACAGACTCTAGATATCCCCTATGAGTAAGGAAATGGCAATAGGGTGGGAGGCTGGGGGGGATGGTGGGAGGGTGTGGGAGGAGAGGAGAGAGAGGGAACTGGGATTGACATGTAAAACAAGCTATTTAAAATTAAAATAAAAAGACCCCCCAAAAAAGAAAAGTATTGGGCCAATTTATAGGCAAAATCCAAGAACAATAGCCACAGTTGACTTCCAATGTTCTTCCTGACAATGAGTTTGGTGACTAACTTATATGCCATCCTAGAACCTTCATCCAGTGGCTGATAGAAGCAGAGGCAGACACCCACAGATAAATATTGAACTGAATTCCTGGAATCCAGTGACAGAGAGGGAGGAGTAATGAGCAAAGGGGTCAAGACTGGGTTAGTGAAACCCATAGAAACAGCTGACCTGAACAAGGGGGGAGCTCTTGGACTCCAGGCTGAGAGGCCAGCATGGGACTGATCGAGACCCCCTGAATGTGGTATCAGTGAGGAGGCCTCTGCAATCTATGGGGCCTTGGGTAATAGATCCACATTGAGGCATGCTCTCTCAGCCTGGACACATGGGGCGGGTGGCGGGGCTGCAGGGGGAGCTAGGCCCTGCCCTGGATGAAATGACAGACTCTGGAGATCCCCTATGGAGGGCCTCATCCTCCCTGGGGAGTGGAGTGGGGATTGGGTGGGAGACTGGCCTGGGGGGGGGGTCAGGGGAGGAGGGGAGGGAGAGGGAGCTGGGATTGACATGTGAAGCAAGCTTGTTTCTAATTTAAATAAAAAATAAAAGAAAAAAACTTTACCTACATATGCTTATATTTAAGTGCTGGTTCTGGCACTTGTAAAACCTGAATATTTAAAATTGTTGACCATTTTATCTTTTGAGACCTAAATAACTTGAGTTATTTTCAATTCCATGTTAATTTTATGTTCATTTAAAGTAATTTACTTTAATCCTTTGCAAATTATAATCAATATGTTATGCCATCATAAAATTTAAAAAACAAAATCAATTATCAGAAATACATATGAAAATTTTAAACAATAAAAAAATACTGGTTTTTGTATAGAAAAATGCAAGATTTTACAAATTTAATGATTATTCATAATAATTCTATGTTGCATTGACAGGTTTTAGAGTGATCATAGAAACATTTTAATTTTAATGCACTAGATATTATTTTAAAAGTTGTTCTCTTTTAAGTAAATATAGTTGACATCAATATGGTAAATCCAGATAATGTTGATAGTGAAAAATGAAGGCAGCTTTTCAAACATAATATGTCTAAACATAAATAGTTAGGATTAAAAATCTTTTAGAAAGTAGAATTTTGTATTTCTCAGTACTTTTCTTTATCTTTACAATCGTAAATAAAAAAGGTAAATTTATCACTCAGTTGATCAGCAACCAAAACCCCAGTTTATTTCAGAAACCACAGAAAAAGGCTGCTTGCAAAGGCTCTTTGTATTTCTAAATGTAAAATTTCAAATAGAGCAGGTACTTTGAACTGCATTAGCTGTCAGATTGCCTGAGGCACAGATGTTAGGCATTTCTTAGTGCCCAGGATAGTTATCAAATCTGTCTACAACTCAAATTTGTGGATTAATTTTTTTTAGGACAACAAAAAAATGTAAAGTCCATAATATCTTTTCTCATATTCTTCATTTGTAAATAAAAGTATTTGTGAAAGGATCCTGACAAGCATTTCTTAAATTGTTTGTTTAGTCCATGTAAACCATTTTATATAACTCTTTAGCAGATTATGACCTTTGTAATATTTACAATAATCCTTAAGCAATACATGTTCATCATTGATTTTAGACTCAGTTTTGATAAAATTATTCATTGAGGCAAAGTTAATAATGTTTGGAAATAATATCTCTTTTCAAAAATAACTTCAATTTATTGTCTTAGAATATTATTGAGTTTAAACATCATTTATAATTTGAGTCATATTTTATTTGAGAATGGAATTTTGTGTGGTTCAAATATAATATGTTTGTAAGCATTTCAAAGGAGAATTTTCATCTTTCTTTAAAGATGAAAAAAAGATGAAGAAATTATATGATGTTTGTGTACAGTTCTTGCTTGGAAGATAAACTACTTTTAGATAGATGATAGATACATTTATAGGTAGTTGGTGTATTATGTAAGTATACAAAAAAGCACATGTTTTTACATAAAGACAACTTTATTATGCTTGAAATAACTATTTGTACCATTTTAATGGATTCATGTTAATCTTGAGATGACCACAAGTAGAGAGAAAAGCAAATGTCAGTAATGATATATGAAAATTCTCTGGGATATGACAGACCATGAGTCGTATGTGGTATTACAATTTGAGATCATTAAAAATATTCAAAGAATAGATGAAAAGTAGATCATAGCCCTTTTAAAACAGTATCTATACTTTTGTTTTGCACATTTCATTTTATATAAGTGCAGGTTTTGGTCAGGAATTAATCACTTTAACTGTGGCTGTACTATGAAATTTTAATAAATATTAGCAGTGTTATTTCCAAATATGGGGAAGAAATTTTGAAATATAAGATATATGTATATGCATTGTACTTAAAACACAGCATAATTGATCATAATATATCTAAGTTTAATTGTTCTAAACTTGATTGAGCTTAAAAGATTCTGTTAGAAATGGAAATGGGTTTTTTCCTTTCATTAGTTTTCTTCAAAACACTTGAAATACATATGATAAAATGTAAAAGTATCGTTTGTTATACTCGTAAGTCAAAAGAGAGAGGTCTTTATTAAAAAAGATGCTCTTCACATTGATCTGACTCTACACACCAATAACTAGAGAAGTCAGGAATCTGGATGTTAGAACTGGATCGGCTTACTACGTTGTGTAGTACTGGCTAGCTATATCCTCTGATCATCAAGTTTTTTCCCTTCATACAATAATAGACCTAATATTAGCTCATCAGGATGTAATAACCAATGTAGCATACATTCAAGTTCAACGTCTTAGTCATGCTAACAATCCTAAACATGGATATGCCCATTTCCACACTATTTAGATGGGTATTAAAATGTAATAGAGGTAAAAGAGCAATCAGAATAGATTAGGTACATGTGAAAACTGTCGAATAACAAAAATAATTGTTAATAAATAAACAAAAACATATCATGAAGAAATGTTCAGCATGTATCACTATTCCACCTTAGGCTGAAATTTTATTCTCAAGCTCCTTCAATGCTCTTGGTACCAGAGAGCTAGCAATAATTAGATCTATTTCTTTTGGGTTCATGCTTGTGCAAATGACTGGTACACAAATCCAGAAACTATTTTTTCAAACACTAAAAGCTTGAAATATTAAAATTCTGATTTATTCCATAGGCAAGTGTCAGATGTTGTGTGGCTTAGTTTTGTCTGGAACTCATATAATTGGAAGGTGTTAGAGGAGGGACTTGTTGCTCAGTCTCATCAATATTCAACACATATTTAATGAGAACTCCCTTTGTACCAAACGGTTATTGCGTTCTGTAAATGCAACTTTAATGACAGCACAGCTTTCATGAAGCTATTCTGCGTGATCATTAGACTGTTTCAAATATAGCAACCAATATGAATGATGACCAAAACTCAAGGCCTAATGGAAGATGTTGTGTTTTGTTCTTTACTAGTGATGGATAGAGTCAATTCAAACTTAGTACAATGACCTATTGGAAAGTGCTTAGGAGCTAAGGTAGTGATAACTGGTCATTTTGTTTAAAGCACTGTAATGCAGCACATATACTTTACATTAAAATAAAAACATTTTCTCATTGGAGAGGTAGTTCAGGGATAGAATGTTTGCTTAGCACACACAAGGCTCTGGGGGGCCTATACCCAGAAGTTCAAAAGCAATAAGAAAAAACTATTTTTCTCTTTCAAGGTAACTGAGCTGCACAACATAAAAAATATAACCAGACTGCCTCGAGAGACAAAGAAGCATGCAGTGGCCATTATCTTTCATGACGAAACGTCAAAGACATTTGCTTGTGAGTCAGGTAAGCAATTTCAGGCCCATCTACAGCTTGAGGAAATTGAGTTGCTCCAGAGACAATGACTCAGACAGATGAAGCCACGGGCAAGTCTGATTAGGATGGCATACTGTAATGAGATGAGCAGAGGAAAGCTTTGTAAGAAGTTGAACATTCTGGTATACTGTGGAAACAGGTGCTTTGGATTTCTGCTATCTTGTCTTTGTCTGGAGTTTGTTCCCAGGTGGTCCAAGGACTCTTAGGGTTTTTGTTCAAGCTTTAGTAAACAATACCTGGAAGATGTTCAGAATCAGCATGTGACTTGTATTTTGGGTTTGGCAAAGTATAACTGTGAAGCGTTTGCTAGTGTAATAGTAATGCTGACAGAGAAAGCTCAGCCAAGAGCAGCCTAGCTCCCAGACATTTTAGAACAGAACTTTGAGCAATGTGTTGCTTTCATGGAGTCTCAGTACTATAAGTCAATACATTTTAGATTGAATTTTAGCATGCCAGTTCATAAAACACTCGGACATTATGGAGACACAAGCAGTTTGTCGTTTGAACTGGCAGTATTTTTCATGGAGCAATCCCTGTGCAATGTAACATATTAGTTGGTTTATTGCCTTTTAAAGATTCAGCTCAATGAAATGCTGCGTTTGCTTTATAATGGATGTTTTTAGAACAGATGCAGGCAAAATGCCCAATGCTTTGAAAGAGCTTAAATATTGAATTTAAAATAGTAGTGAGGTTTTGGGGGAAGCTTTGATATTATTTTTAAGATGAGATATGACTAAAAGTGTATGTTTAATGTAGAGTTATATTATAAAAGCTAATACTGTCATTTTGCCTAACTGCAATTACTTACAACTTATCTAATTTTATACAAAATTGGCTTAGCTGAACTGGAATTTATCAAATAGTTTATTCCTTTAATGACTTTACCCACCAATACCCTTCTGGTATATTTCTCTCCGGTTGCCATCTGGCCTCATCTCATTTAAAATATGCTATTGGTCCTGTTTCAACCTCACTGTTAAAATGTTATTGTCCAAAATACTTCATCTTTCTGCCTTGTTAAGAGAAGTCTTTTCCTTGAGAGAAGCTTTTCCGCCAGCCTGGTTCTAGAGCTGCTTTCCTGCCAGCCTGGTTCTAGTGCTGCATCAATCCCAAATAAACACACAGGAGGCTATATTAATTATGAAGCTGTTGGCCTTGCTTGTTTCTTACTAGCTAGCTCTGACTTAAGTAATTACCCCATAATTGTTAATCTAAGTATGTCTCTTACCGGAGAGGTTTCCGGGCTTCCTACCCCAATGGCGTTACATCTCGACTCTCCTGTGTTTCTCCTTCCCAGCATCCTCCTGGATTCCTAGCCCCACCTATCTAGATTCCTATTGGCCAGACAGTGCTTTATTAGCATAAGACTTCCCCAACACTGCCTTATTGGCCAACTCCTTAAAACTCTCTAAGCATGTAATTTTCTCCAAGCTCCTAAATATATAATATTTATATCATATATTTTAACTAATTGCAACCAAAAATAATTTTCTAAAAAAACACAAAAATAATTTTCTTAATTTTATTTTCACTGTTGTTTAGTATTTCAGCATTGCAAAAAGAAGTATTGGAGATTTATAAAGAACTCTAGAGTCGAATTTCAAAAAAATGGTATTTAGTCATATTTATTTATGCAAAATTTTTATTTGGAATTTTTGGAGAATTTGTTTTTTAATTAATAAGTTCAATATACTAATTTTTACTCTAATAATTATTTGTATTATAGTAGAAATATTCAGTATACCCAAATGGCTTTTATGATTAAATAGCTATAATCACTCTCAAGTTGCCTATCAGCTGATTTTTAAAGTAGAGTTCAAATTGTGAGAATGTATACAATATTGTTCCTTTTCAAATTTTAATATTCTAAAATGTTTGTGAGGGTGCATATTCCTTGGTGCATAGATGTAAACATATACATATATATATATGTATGTATGTATGTATTTGGTATTATATGGCATGTTTCTCCCAATTGCAACATTCCCTAGGAACTTTAATATTTGCTTCAAAAAATAAAAGAAGGCTCATGAGCCACAGGAGATAAACTAAAGGCCTCCAAAGGTCACATGAAAAGAGAAAAGGAAACTTAAGTGGGAATAAACACTTGTTGGGACTACAAACTCTCACCAACCAAACTGAGAGAAGACATTCAGACTGTGGAGCTGCTTATTGGCTCCATAGAAAGCTCCAGGGTTTCAGTTTCAGAAGTCATCACCCATGTTGGGATGAGCTTTCTGGTGTTACAATTACTTTTTAGTAATCCCTGCTCCCTGTAAATAACCGCTCACCCATACTCTTGTTAGTAAGCCCAATTCGTTTCTCCACCAAATCTGGCATTGCTAGAATTATTACTTTCTTCTGTCAGGGACTCTCCTTTGGGATAAATTAAGATGTGTATGTCTCAAATCTTCAGAAAAAAAATCTACCACACCACATATAGACACACATATGTGCATATACTGAATTTCATTCCAAAGACCCTTGCTGCTCTGTATTATTGTTTCTCATCACCATGGTCACCTCCCTTTGTCTGATAAAGGGTATGTGCCAAAGGGACAAAGGAAAAGTAGATATTTCTTTGTACTCTGATATTTGAAGACATTTTAATGAGTTTGTATTAAATAGATACTACACATATGTTCTGTGTGTGCTTCATTCACACGCCTAGACTAAAAAGAAAATCCAACTCCTTCACATCGTAATACTGGTAAATTGATTCAGAAACATTCATGTTCATTATAAAGACTCAGATCCATGTGCTCATCAGTACTTCTTGGAGTCTTGATCTTAAAATGAGGATTTTAATTTAACTCCAGGAATCAGGGCAGCAAGGTGTCCAGAGAAGAACTGTGACAATATGCTGGTATCATCCAGGTCCCCTAGCCTGAGCATCAGTACATAAGGCTCAGCACCTAGCACAGTTTTCTAAACGAATTCACAAGTGATTTAAACAATTTCAAGGAAGACCATACGAGATTAGGATTTAAAATGAAATGACCAAGTATACTCAGAATCTAGAACTTAATTTCTAAAAACAGTTGACTTGGCTTTGTGGAGAACTGGCTGATTCTAGGACTAAAGGTAGGAACTAGTCATCATGAACCCAGAGCATCTTATAGAGCTGAAAAATACAAAACAGAATTAATTAAGTTAATTGACCAATCAATCAAAACAAACTCCTGAAGGAGCCCAAGTTGGGCAAATCCATACCAACCTGAACATTGCTGATCAGTCTGCTCTCAGTAGATTATTAAACACATGAATGAATTGCCTGGGTAAACAAACAAACAAATAAAACTTTCTCTAAGGTTTAATAAAAAGCATGTTATTCCTCGTTAGTGTGAAGGGTATTCCCACTCCCTAGAAAGAGGAACTTCGAGGACATCTTCATTATTTTATGACTCAAAATGGGAGAGTCTATTAATAACAAAAGCTTTTGAGTTTCAAAAATAAATCAAATGCCAAATTAATAGAAAGATAGCTTAGTTATGGTTTCTATTGCTTTGATTAGAAGCCATGCTCACTTGACTTTTTTAGACAGCTCAGAACTACCTACTTAAGGGTGGTACCCACAAGGGCTAGGCCCTGCCACATCAATCATTGATTTGAAGAGTGACACACTAGTCTGCAGTCTAATCTTATGGAGGCGTTTCTCTCAGTTAAGATTTCCTCTTACCAAATGTGTCTGTGTAAAGTTGAAAGAAGCCAAGCAAGATAAGGAGAAAATGAAACATAATCAGAAATAAATAAAATAGATAGTAATGTAACTACAAATGATGGTCCTAGAAGATATATTAATCATCAAAGCACCTGAAGTATAGAAATTGTGTACAAAGCTAAGCACAGTGGTGTATCTGTATCACCTATACATTTGGTTTCATTATCAAGCCTGGATGCCTAGAAAAATCTAGATCAGTTCTTCATAAATATTTCAGGAATTTGAGGACGGAATTCTATGAAGCCAGCATTACTCTAATACCAAAATCCTCCTCCAAGACTAAAAACTCATCAAACTAAAACCTAAATCAAATATCCAAAATAAAAATAGAGGTGAAAAACCTTCAAAAAAATTGTAGTGCACCAAATCAAACAGCCCATAATAACTCATGTATACACGATAAATTGAAATTCATTCTATCTAAAAATTGAATGTACAAATCAATATATGACATACTACATGAAAAAATGAAAGACAAAAACCACATAATCATCTTAATAAATTCAGAAAAATGTTTTGGTAGAATTTATATTTCATCACATTTTTAAAAATCTCTGCAAAATTTGGAAATAGAAATAATCTGCATACACATAATAAAAACAATTTATAATGAACCAACAGTTAGGATCATATGGAACTGTGAAAAGCAGAGTTTTTAAGTAAGGGGGGAACAGGATAAGAAAGTCACTTTTGGCAGAGATGGAGTGATGAGCAAAGGGGTTAAGACCATGCTGGTGAAACCCACAAAGAAAGCTGACTGGACAAGGGGGAGCTCTTGAACCCCAGACTGATGGCTGAGAGGCCAACAGGGAACTGATCCAGACTCCGTGAATGTAGTGTCAATGAAGAGGCCTCAGAAATCTCTGGGCCTTGGGTAGTAGATCAGTGTTTACCCTGGTGTATGAATGAACTCTTGGAGCCCAATCCACTTGGAGGAATGCCCTCTCAGCATGGACACATGGGGAAGGACCTAAGTCCTGCCCTGGATGAAACGACAGACTCTGGAGATCCCCCTAAGGAGGGACTCACCCTCCCTGGGGAATGATGTGGGGATTGGTTGGGGGTTGGGAGAACTGGTGGAAGGACAAGGAAGTAGGCGTGGGAGAGAGATCTGGGATTGACATGTGAAGCATGCATGTTTCTAATTTATATAAAAACATATATTGAGGAAAGAAAAATAAAGAAGGTAAAGAATGTCACTTTCTATCTTCATTCAACATAATGCTGGAAATCCTAGCCAGAGACTTCA